TCGGATCCAAGGCAAAAACTATGCGGTTGCGTTCCTTCGAGCCACCAAAATAACTCGCAGTCAAGAAGCGCTCTTCTAGGCTTCCATTTTATACAGCAAGATATTTCTTTGTTTCTCCTTTTTTTACCTTCCAGGCTAATCCATACCAGCCACCAGAATTGTAATGCTGTAGAGGGTTATATAAGTCACGTGGTTTTATCATGGATATAATTCAAATATAATTTGTCGACCTTCTTTCTCTCTGCTCTTCTATTTCAAACATATTTCTAGCCTCATCATGGATGTCAGTAATATTAATCCCCCGGGACTTTTGTCATTCTCATGCTATTAATTGCGTGGTCATGTTGTGAGCTTTCACCATCTACTTCGTCGTGTTGTACAAATTCTCCCGTAGGTTAAGAGATGATGGCGGGAATATCTAAGACCAGCAATAAGACTAGACCTTATACCGGTCATATCGGTAGAGAGACTGTTTATATTGACCTTAGGAGGGTAGATAGAGTATACTGTATGTATAAGGGGGTAAAGAGACAAAGGCAGAGCAAATAAAAAACAACGACATCTCTACCGACCGAACGGCGACCTGCAAAAAAAATGTTTGGAGATGAGTGAGATAGGCATATATATATATATGGGGTGTCCTGTGGTATGCAGCGCCATGTTGACAACTTGACCACAGATCCAATCCCCAGATGCCTTAGACATGTACTCTTCGATTTATGTTCAAAATAGAACAGGCACAGGTACAAATATCACATTGCACCACAGAGCAATATCCCTCACAGAATCCATCCACCCCGAGGCCATCCTCGGTTATTGAGCTGGTAGAGGCACTCTAGACACCCTAGAACAGATCATCTGAGACATCATCTGAGACAGCTCCTACCGACATTCGTCTTCTCCATTTTCATCCAATCCTTATTCTGACCCCCTGAGAACCACAGCTGTACGGGAAAAAAGAATTAAAGCTCAGTGAGCATTTCAGCTGACCGATGATGTGAGCATTTTTTGTTATGGTACACATTTGGGACCTATCTACTCCAAAAGCGAATGGTCCCGAGAAAAAAGAAAGAAAAAACACGCCTGCATCAAGGGAAATAAGAAATGGAAAATGAACAGCATCAACTCCGGTTTACCAAGCCTCGGTGTCGAAGTTCTCAACCCCGAAGTACGAGGCAACGACTGTACGGTCAGAGAACTTGCGACCCGCCAGCGCCTTGAGAGCGGTGGTGGCAGATTCGGCACTATCGTACTTAATGAAGATCTTGCCAGCACCGTGTCCACGGCGGGGGATCTTCACTGCGATAATCTTTCCGAACTTGGAGCATTCCTCGCTCACATCCTCCATGATTTCTTCGTAATCTTCGTCACTGAGGAGCTCATCAAGCGTGACCATGTTAAGAAGCTGCAGGACCTGGGTGGTCTCGAGATCCTGGGAGGTGGTCTTGGCAAACATTTGCATGGCATTCACGCCCATATCGAGACCAGAGGCCTGTGTGGCTCCAATACTGGCGCGAACGAACTTGAGGTGACGGTCGACAAGCTCCATGCCGTTCAAACCCTCAACGGCCAGAGCAGTGTTGTTCGGGTCGACGTATTCATAAAAGGCAATTCCCTAGAAAGGTTAGTTGCAAAACATTGGACAGAAGGGAGATACTCAAACTTACACGAGACTCCTCTGTAGCAGCATCCTTGACCAAGACAAACGACTTAAGGTCACCGAATGACTTGAGCAGCATGATTATAGCTTCCTCATTGATGTAGGTGGGAATATTAGAGATGCAGATCTTGTTGGGTGAGTCGGGAACCTCGGTCAGAACAACGTCGGGTTGCACTGGCTGGACCGCGCTGCCATCGGGGACAATGTAGTCCTTTGGTCGTCGCACTTCAAGTCCCTTGTCTCCACTCTCAGCCATGGTAATTCCATCAAATGCCAATGCAACTGTAGCGTCGTTTGGATCCTTGAACTCCAGAAGCGCGAATGACTTATCTTCCGAAACTTGGGCTGAGATGCAGGGGTCGACACTGTGAATGACATTGAGACCATTCAACTGAAGATTGAAGAAGGCAATTACAGCATCGCCCGAGACACCGGGCGGGATGTTGTAAACGAAAAGGCGCTTTGATTGGCGAGAATTGGAAGGCTTGAGGGCAGCGTTCTCGCTTTCGCCAGTAGGGGGGTTCAGGAAGTCCTTCATGCGGCTGGGGTCCATCGGCTGCTGACGAGGAGCTCCGGGAAGAGGGAACATCCCTAATAATGTTAGACAATTTCACTAGCTCATGGGCTTCAAGTACATACCTGAGATCTTTGCCTGTTCGGCCGTAACATTCTCGTAACCAGGAGGCTTCATATCCCATTGAGTCAAACGACGCTTGCGGGTCAACACACAAGCGACATCTGTCAGATCAGGAGTAGGCTCCTTGCGCCGCGGGGGCGTGGCGCTTCGCTTGCGCTCTCTTCTCTCGCGGTCTCCACGGTCTCCACGGTCTCCGCGATCACCACGGTCTCCGCCACCACGTCCGCCGCCGCGTCGGTCTTCAAACAGGTCGCGGCGAGGTCTGTCGTCAAAGTCACGTCGGCGACGATCGCCCCGGTCACCACCACCGCGGTCACCACCACCGCGGTCACCTCCGCCACGGTCACCCCGGTCACCTCGGTCGCCACGGTCCCAGTCTCGATCGTCACGGCGGCCAGAGTAACGGTCCTCGCGCTCACGGGCACGGTAGTCACGGCTGGTTGAGTATGAGTTCACTTCGCGTTCCCGACGGGAGTCGCCTCGGGATCCATGGTGAGGCGAACGCGATCGGCGTCGTTCACCTCGATCACTCCGATCGCCCCGTTCAGCTCCACGCTCTGTTCCTCGTACAGAACCACGTTCAGCGCCTCGGTCAGCAGCTCTGTCAGCTCCGCGTTCGGTCCGGTCGCCTCGGTCTCGATCACGTCGCTCGTCGCGCTAGAATTGGGGTTAATCGCCGCGGTTGCGACCAAAGATTGGCTGGTACTTACGAAGTAGTCACGGGAACGTCCAGTATCTAAGAGATATTAGCAGTTATATTAAAAAGTAATTTTAAGGATACTTACCCCTGGATGAGTAGGTGTCGCCGTTCATCTTGAAGTTGGTTGAGGAAATGAAGCTCTGTCGCCAGTGAAGGGGAAAACTCATGACCCGGAGCTGCAGGCGGTAATAGCCTCACCGCCCAGTGTCGATGAATATATCGGCAGAAAAGCAACCAGACAGCGACTCCGCAGTCTCAAATTACCATCTTTCGTGTTTCAAAGATGTCTGGAGGTCCTTTGTCGGAATGGAGGAAGCTGCCTTTGAGCTTGAGTGAGCTTTGCATCAATACTACCCTCAGATGTGGCCAGTCTTTCAGGTTCGTCGCCTAAGTTTTCAGGTCCGGATATTGCAAGCCAAATGACTGACCCTTTTTAGATGGCAGAACATTCCAGAGAGTCAGGAATGGCGATGCGTTCTCTACGGTCACCTTCTATCGCTGAAGCAAGATTCCAATTTCTTGTACTATAGATCCGTGCAACCTCCCCATACATTCACACCAACAACCTCCGACAATGACCATCTCATCCGCATTATCAAACATTACTTCAACCTGACACCAAATTTGACCGAACTCTACTCCCAGTGGTCATCACAAGACCCCAACTTCAAGAAAAAGGCCGCCCAATTCACCGGGATTAGGATCCTTCGACAAGATGCATGGGAAGCACTGGTATCATTTATCTGCAGCAGCAACAATAATATTGCACGGATCTCTCAAATGGTAGAGAAATTATGCATACATTATGGAAAATCAGTGGCCACAATTGAAGGGCGTGCATATCATGATTTCCCTCCCCCAAGCGCATTAACTGGCACGGACGTGGAAAGCAACCTACGCAAGTTAGGGTTTGGATACCGTGCTAAATACATATATCAAACTGCGGTTATGGTATCCAATCGAGACCAGGGCTGGCTAGACAGTCTGAGCAACCCCGAGTGTCCAGCATTTGGTGTGGATCCCAGACCCAGCGGCCAAATGAAACCAGAAGGGCGAGAGGGATATCGTGAAGCCCATGAAAAGCTCCTTGAGCTGCAGGGAGTGGGGCCCAAAGTGTCAGACTGTGTCAGTTTAATGGGACTAGGCTGGGGAGAGTCTGTGCCGGTCGATACTCATGGTGAGTTGTTTTGGATAATGTTTCTGATATATCTCTAATCCTTTATGGCAGTGTGGCAAATCGCACAGCGAGACTACCGATTTGGCAAAAGCTCCAATAAGAACTTGAACAAGACGACTTACGATGCTGTTGCCAATCATTTCCGCAAGCTTTGGGGCAAGGAAGCTGGATGGGCTCATAGTGTGCTTTTCACTGCGGACCTGCGGACATTTGCAGACAAGCTTGCTGCAACCAAGAAGGTCAACGTGAAAGTGAAAGACGAAGAGGCTGATATCAAGGTCGAGACAAAAGTGACAACTGATCTCAATTTGAAAGTTCCTAAGGAGGAAGACCTCGATGTGAAAGTCAAGGTCGAGGACATAGATGATGCCAAGAAGCCCATCAGCAGAAAGCGAAAGGAAGTCGAGAACATGGTTTCTGCTGCTCAAACAACAGAGACACGGAGAATGTCCAAACGACTAAGGCGCTGATGCTATTAGGGACCAAGGGCCCTACTGACTAGTTACTACATACTACTTTTATCGAAGAAAGATACATCTGTACATCTAATACTGGAGCATTGCAAAACAATCAAGTCATGTGCTGAAGGCAAAAGTGTACGATGGAGATAAGAGTCTGGTGCGATAAACATGTGTATTTGCATTAAGGAATCTTAGCTATATGAACGTTCAATGCCTATAACCGTAGTTAGTATAACGGTCGAGCAACTCATAACAGAAGGTTTGAAGTTGAAGAAGGTAGATCAGAAGTCCAGGTAGATCATCGAGCTAGCATCCGAAAACACTAGCTCTGACATAAGAGGTACCAGAAAATAAAGTAATAACAAATGCGTTGTATCATCATGTGGGAAGGTTGGAAATCGAGCAAAAAGAGCTGGAACTGACCTGATATTGACGGTGGCGACGAGATGAAAGGCGTGTCGAGTGTATACAATACAACTTGGACTTGAGTTAAACCAGAAAACATTAATTCCAGTCAACTCAAGTGCGAAATTGGGATTGTTGGTTGTTGAAGTTGGAACAAAATTCGAAGGGAAACGAAGTGAAGTTTTGTCGAAGAAAAGAAATAAGCGAAGCGCATCACGTGACCCCACACAGGCCCCATCCTTCCCGCCCACACTCACACCCTCTCACTTCTTGATTTTCGATCTTTCATCCACGCCGACAACCGACCAGATTTCCTCCGCCGGACACATCACCAATCCAAAATGGGTCGTCTTCACAGCAAGGGCAAGGGCATTGCCTCTTCCGCCATCCCCTACTCCCGCGCCGCCCCCGCGTGGCTCAAGACCACCCCCGACCAGGTTGTCGACCACATCTGCAAGCTGGCCAAGAAGGGTGCCACTCCTTCCCAGATCGGTGTTGTCCTCCGTGACTCCCACGGTGTTGCCCAGGTCAAGATTGTTACTGGTATGGAAATCCGGAGAACTGCGACCCCAGGAATTTGAGGATCGAAAATTTTCTAACATTTTTGCGCAGGTAACAAGATCCTCCGTATCTTGAAGTCCAGCGGTACGACTCCCTCCGCCCACATAATCACATCCGTCGGGTGAAGAGAGCGAACAATTTGCGTGGACAAGCCATGCTGGTTCGGTAAAAGAACCATTGGCTTCGAAGCGCAAAATGCTCGTCTCCCTCCCCGACACTGGTTAGCAGAAATGCACCAGCAATTAAGCCTCTGCTTGGTCAAGAACATCTAGACTGACAGAGAGATTTTGGAATACAGGCCTCGCTCCCGAACTCCCCGAGGACCTTTACTTCCTGATCAAGAAGGTAAAATCTTTTTGTCTCCCCCTTTTTCCCTGATCTCTATCCGTGCAGATTATGCTGACCTCGAATCATCCAGGCCGTCGCTGTCCGCAAGCACCTTGAGCGTAACCGCAAGGACAAGGACTCCAAGTTCCGCCTGATTCTGATCGAGTCCCGCATCCACCGTCTGTCTCGTTACTACAAGACCGTCGGTGTCCTGCCCCCCACCTGGCGCTACGAGAGCGCCACTGCCTCCACCCTTGTCGCATAAGCGCATTTTGGGAGGATGAGTGGTTGACGGAGGGAACCCATCGGATCGTCGTGATCGTCGTATCTGAAGGGTCTATCTTCTGCTAGATACAACAAAAAAGATTACGATTATTTGATACCCCGTTCATGAATGTTCTAGAATTCTTTGGTATTTGTAGGTCTGGCTAGTAGATGTCCATATAGATAATTTCTGGCATCCAAATGATCGCTAGCCTTTCAATATAAAGTGGGTATTCAAGTAGTATAGTGAAATGGCCCCGACCATTAATATGCTATCTACTATTTGACCCATATGGTAATTTGGAGCGCTAGAAAATAAGGTTATGTTATATGTACAACTTTAAGTAGACATATTTCTGTACTGTATAGGCATCACTTACAGATCACACTCGGCTCTAACCTCCCTCGCCACAGCATTGCAAAGCTCAACTTTAACACCAGCCCTCACTAAAATATGGATCCAAAGGCGCTGAGTATCACTTAGCCGATCGTTCTCCGACTTCACCTCAGCGAACATCACCGTCCTCATCTCATGATTCCAGAGGAACAAGTCCGGGATCCCTCCACCGCGCTGCTGGTACTCCTGCGCCATTACCTTGCAGATAGTAGCAAGTGCCTCTCCCCGGAAACACTGCACGATCTCAACCAAGTCATCTAGGTCGAAAGACCAATCAAGGCCAACAGCACAGGGCTGCGCCTCAGCCTCACGATTATGGATCTCACGGATGATCCGCTCTGCATCCCCATTCGTGATCTCAACCAGCCGGTGATTGATCTCGGATGCACGAGACGGGTAGAAGACATCAGTGTGGAGATCGAGCGGACACGTCTGAAACGCAGTCTGGAAGACATTGGGGACGTATGTGAACATGATATCGTAGAAGAGGTAGCCGAACTGCGTTCAAGATTAGAATCAGCGCTATCTTCGGGAATATTCCAACGCTACTTTATATGGGGTAAGACTCACCAGCGTCCGCACAATACCCCCTTCAGAGTGATATCCCTTCCATCCATGATCACGGTACCAACTCAGACACATACCCTCCACCCTACATTCGCCTCCCTCTCTCTCATCAACCCAAACAGTCGCTTTCCCCTTCCGCGGAGTATCACCCGTATCAATACGGATACCCTCAATCGTCCGCTGAGCAGGCTTGCCTAGCACGACATGTCCGAAATCATGCTGCTCGCGTTTCACCACCCGAAGAGCCTTTTCCAGCTTCGTGATCCGCTTCTGCAAGTCATAATGAAAGATCAGATGACACAGCGGGTCTTCAAGTCCAGTCTCGCATGTCCGCAACGCAAGTTTCTTCCAATGCTTACGCTGCGCTTCTTCGCTGCGCCCATCTGTAGGCGTAAGTGCCCACATGTAGTGTTCTTCCAGCAGTGCCTTGCGCTGATACCACGCGCCGCGCCGCGCAGCGTGGAAAAGACGTTGCGCAAGAAGTTCCTCTAGCACTTCGTGCTCGCGTTTGTGCTGCTTGAATCGGCCGAGTGGGTGGAGACTCTTGTGGATGATTCTTGTGAGCACCCATGCCGGCGAGAACCGGCGGAGATATGCGCCTTCGCCGCTTTCGTAGATGCTGTCTTCTTTCTTTTGTTCTTGGTCGACTAGCTCTTTCCATCGGGGATGGGACGTTTTGGCAAGGTCGATGATCTGTTGGAGGGATTCGGTCGTGACTGGGCCGTTGGATTCAAGAATGTTGTCGATGGCGAATTGGGTTTGTATTGCTGATTCGAATTCCAGCAGCGCTTCTCTGGACGAGAAGATGGAATTTGAACGGCAGACGATATATTCAGGGAAGTTTCTTTTGGTCATTTTGGCTAGGATAATTGTTGTGAGGGACTTCTCGCTCCACTCACTGGAACGATAGAATACCAAGTGCACTCGCTCAAAGAGAGTGCGAGGCACTGGCGAGATCCTAATACATCCACCCGTGTAGTCCAATATCTTCTGGGTAAAATGGCCGTCTCTATTATTCGTGTCTTTGAGTCCTGTTTGTGTCTGGCTCGTTTCGCGAAGAGCCGCCAGCAACTCTTTCTTGCTCTTGCCCTGAACTTTAGCCTCCTTTGCAAAGACCTTGAGTTCCTCCAGCAATAGAAGTGACGAAGCCTCTTCCAGAGTTGTGATCGCTTCTATCCCTTCTGCAAATCTAAACTTATTTCCGAGTTCTGAATCAGGCAGGGTCCGGTCCCGCTGTAGGTCCTCGGCAACAGAGAATAAATCCGAGATGTCGGAGTAGTAGTTCAACCGGTTGATACGGTGCCAAGCAGAGGTCTTGCGGAGGAATAGTCGAACATACCTGGTCAAAGATTAATCTCAACCATATCTCGTCACATTCTACAGAAGACATACAAATACTGTGATTCGTAGGGCAGCTCCCGCCACTGAGTAAATATTTCCATTTCAGCCTCGTTAAAGAGATGCGATTCCTCACCCAGCACAGTTTCCAGTGCCAGGTTGAATGCATCCACATAGATGGAGCTCTTCCCTTTCTGCCAGGCACCATCTTGTAACCTCACATGCAATCCCGCAATTTTGTCATTTTGTAGCGCCTCGTACTCCTCGATTGCGTCCTCGTCGGTCTTGATCGCAGGAAGGGAAGTTTCGAGTTCTGTCTGGCTGCTGGTAATTATTCCTAAATCGTCCGCTGCGGGGAGCTCCGCCGCTGTGACCGAAGGACTCGGACTCAGTGGTGGTTTAGTCTCTGCGTCTGTACTAGAATCCTCTTTTTCAAAAGTCCGCCGACGTTTCGCGGGAGGCTGCATCTCCCAAAAGTTCAGCAAGGACATGGTCTCTCGTGTCCATGGATGCAATCAGTCCCAACCACTCAAGTCTCCAAGTATAGACAGACACGACCGACGTGTCTGGCCGAACAGGTTTCAAACACGAGATCACGTGTTCGATATAACTCCATTGGGCTGTTTGTCCTGTTTGCATATGACATCGACAAGAAGAGGCACAGGCAAACACATAAGAAAAAAAGGAACTAAAGAAAGACAAAGACAGTCTGAGAAAGAAAAAGAAAGAAATGCCATCTGAATAGCATTCACAAACCCCCAAAGTGCTATCTCTAGATATTAAAAAATGGTCTTACCAGTAAGCCCCAGCTCTTCCCTCACAGATCGACGCCGAGCTCCACAGCTTCCGCTCCGCGAACATTGGCCGATTCCACAGTTGCGACTCCCACTTCCCAAAAGATACACCTCCCAGGCTCTCAATTAACCTGCGTAGCCTCCCACTCTCGCCATATCAGATCCACCCGCCTCCTCAGCTCCTACGTCCATCACGGTGCCCCAATCGAAACCCACATCCACAATGGGCGAAACAAACGGCACTGGCTCCAACACGCCGCTTGGCGATTTGGGAAATGTCTCTGCGAGCCAAATTCGCCCCGGTGGCGCACCTGCACGCGTCTACCTCAATGAGAAGGTCGTGCCATATTTGCTTGATGGCATGAAATCCGTCGCGCGCGAACAGTGAGTGGAATACTATGGCTAGCTGGCTTTTCTATACCGGTCTGCTGAATGGTTTTACTGATCTATTTGCTTTTCGCTTTTTGCGATAGGCCTGCCAATCCTCTCCGTGTGCTCGGCGAGTTCTTGCTTCAGAAGAGTAATGAAGTGGAGGGTGAGACTAAGAAGGAGTCGGAATAGAGAGACAAATTTGGGCTGGATTTCTTGGGATTTCTTGGGCGTTTAATGGTGCTTGATAGGCTGTTCTGTGATTGTTTTTTTTTTTTTTTTTTTTTTTCCTCCTTGCATTTGGCTTCACAAAGAAAAGCTTGTGAGTGGGCTTTGAAGTACGCGAAGACGTTCACAATTTGATACCTTGATACCCCGGTCAATGTCTGTACTGTCTTGCTAGTAGGGCTTGAAGGATGTTAGAGAAGAAAGGATAGTGTGAATAGTGCCTTAAAATCAATGATTTTCTACCTACTTGTCTACATATAATATACGGGGAGAAGGCAGTGTGGTGTGACCTTGAGTATGTCAAATAGGTCAGATTATTCAACTCCTATGTCCTTAATGACAGAGTATATATAAGCGGCCGACTATATTTGTAAAAGGATATATAGATACCAGGGTAGCCAGGGACGGAAATGCGATAATGGATCGAGTATGTGTTTTTCTTTGTTAAAGGTCTAAGTCTCATTGATGAAAGAAAATCCACACAGCCATGAATGCCAAAGATTGGTTTGGATAAATGGTGACTCAAAAAGGGACACTGGGGTCTCACAGCCTTCGAAGTAGTGTGCATTTCATGCCGGAGCGTGGAGAGGGCGCATAGAACTTCAGAGATTCCTAAGTAGAATAAGTACAAGCATGTCATACCCCGACCAAATATTCGGGGAAGAACAAAGGATTCCAAAAAAAAAAAAAAAGAAAACCTAGATAGGTCAGCTTGCGAAACACACATCTCACCGTTAATGGCATTGTCAATATCCAAAAATTGATTAATGCCAGGGGTTTAAAGGTTGAAACTACAAGCGCAAAGTCGACGGCTTTGAATTGGGCGAATGGTTGATCATTCAGTTGTTTAGAGAAAGTCGAATACAATCGAGCCGTTACTGGAGATGGTGTAGAGGTGAAGTTGTAGCTGTAGCTGTGTGACGAATTTGCTGACCCTGAGATAACCGAATTACAGCGCATAATTTTCTGTCCCTTTGCCGCTAGAAGTTTTTTTTTCCCCGAAGTTGCGTCGCGAACAGACATGAAAGACACACATCATCAAGCGACCGAAGTGTGCGATGAAGTTGCCGAGTCGTGGCGCTCCGTTTTTTTCTTTCTTTTTTTTAAAAATCGTCGAGCCGAGAGCAATTGACAAACAAAGACAGCGACGCCCCGTGGCCCGTCGCCCAAATCCCGCATTAAAACAATCCCAGAAACAAAGAAAAGGGGAGGAGGAAGTGGGCAAGTTGGTGAAACATAGGAACCAGGAACCAGGAGACATCAAAGACCAGTCTCTGTTCTGGTTAGAAAACAAGGGGAGACACTTTACCTACCAGCGTACCGATCCTCGCCGCCACCGCCGGCGCCAGGAGCACCGCCAGTGCTGCTGCGTGCTTGCCCTTCGTAGGAACGTCCACCACCACCAGCATAGGGGTCGCGAGCCTCACGGGGAGGGCCGGCAGCATCGAAGCTAGGAGGGTTGGCGTCGCGATCGTAGTAACCACCGCCGCCGCCGCGAGAATCATCACCACCTCCACGGCGGTCATCACGGCTGTAACGGTCATCACGGCCACCACCGTAGCGGTCACCGCCTCCACGGTATCCGTAGTCATCGCGCGATTCACGGCGACCGCCATAGTCACGGCCACCACCGCCACCACCACCACCGTAGTCACGGCGGCCATAGTCACGTCCGTAGTCACGGCCATAATCACGGCGATCATTGTAAGAGTCATAGCGACCGTAGCGGGAGTAGTCATCGTCGCGACGACGCCAGCCGCCACCGGAGGGGCCACGACGGTCATCGTAACGGTCACGGCGAGGACCACCTCCCCGACCACCAGGACCACCAGGGGGTCCACCAGGGCCATCTGAAGAAAGGAAATGTAAGCTGACGCAAGGTGGAAGAGAAAGGGATGATATAACTTACCACGCTTGGGAGGACCAAAGTACTTTCCGGGAGTAGGGGTACGAGGACGGGCACGACGAGCCTTCTCGATACTCAGGGTGCGACCTTCGATGACCTCACCCTGGAGACCCTCCTTGGCGGCATCAGCCTGCTCGGCAGTGACCATGTTCACAAAACCGAATCCACGGGACTCCTTGGTGTGGGGGTCCAGCATGATAGAGCAGTTATCAACATCGCCGTACTTTTCGAACAGACGCGAAATATCGGACTCGGTCAGGCGCGGGTGAATACCAGTAACAAAAAGGTTAGAGCCAGAGTTGATGGCGCCTTCATCATCTTCCTCGAGAGGCTTGCGAGCCAGAGGAGCTCTGTGGGTTTATTAGCTTTGAATTGATATACCACATCAGACAAATACATACCTGTCATCAGAGCGGCCATTGGGGGAGCGGCTGCGAGCACGGTCGCGGTCGGCTCGAGGCTCATCGCGAGGAGAGGCGCTGCGCTCACGATCATAGCGAGGCTCGTCTATTGAAAAAGGGTAAATATTTTCAAGCGCATCGAAATAATTCGAAAAAACATACCAGCGTAGCGACTGGAATCGTTGTCGTAGTCCGCCATGATGAAAGGACTGAGGGTGTAGGTTGGAAGAAGGAAGAAAGAGAAGTTGGGAAAGCTGATAAGAGCGGACGCTAAGCACCGGGAAGTACACACCCGAAGAATCAGGCAGAGGTGCAAACTGCTAGGATTCTTAGTGAATTAGGTGGATTTGGGTTGAATTTAGAGAAGAAAAATCAGAGATTTCTTTTTTTCTTTTGAAAATGCAAGTTTATGCAGGGGGTTATTTTGACCATGACAAACGGATTTTATGCCAAGACGACCAAAGCAATCGCCATATTAAAGCCTTCTTAGCTATAGAACCTAACTAGTTAACTAGTGCAATACTCATACAACTGAAACTAACTCCTGAACTTGGAATGCGCTAAAATCAAACTCATGAACCCCATACAAATCATATCCAGAAAGTAATCATCGGGAGCCTCGCAAACGTCGAGTCCGACGGGGATTTTGTTGTGAAGCAGCCGGGGTGCTGGTGGTCTGGCCCTTCAGGTCTCCATCATTAACCAAGTCCTTCAACCCTTCGAGTTCATCCTCATCCAGTTCACTGAGTTCTTCACTCATTCCACGCATGACATCCCGTCCAGTCCACCGTTCCTCGTGAACAGTTGTACCAACAGGGTCGAATGGCTGCATGTACCATTGAATGCCACCCAAAGCCAAAGGTAGCTGCTGGTCTTGCTCGGTCAAGACAGGCGTTGGATGGCGATAGTAGTTGGGGATACTCTTCATAGTGTCTTCAGCAGGAGGCAGCTCTTCTGCCTCAGGGTGTTGTTCATCAGATGGCTGGACTTCCGGTGGAGGCTCTGTCGTAGGAAGTGTTGCTTCAACTCCTTCCATAGCGTCGGGTTGACCATACAACTCAGTATCACCTTCCGGTTCAGCGGAATCACCATTGCGTGACATCACACTGTGATCAAGAATCACATCCAGCTCCTTCAACTCCTTCTCGAATGGTTTGCGGTTGAGTTCGCTCTCTTTCCTGATCGCATCCTCCAGGGAAGGCTGGATGACTTTGATTATCCGTTTTGCCATTTTTCTCTTCTCGCGTTGCTCCAGGCTGAGCTCTGGGGCACGACCACTGATTTGCGCTTGGAGTTCTGCGGTATCGCCAGCGGGCTCCACGCCGATTTCTGAGGTGAAAAGACTGGCCAAATCGGCAGAGAAAGCAGCAACAGACGGATAGAATCGTTCGTTGAGCCTTTGTCGGATTGACATAAAGCCGGCTGCAAACACACCCTTTCCATCGAGCCTGGGATAAAGTCAGTATAAGCGTTGACAAAATAGGACGAATATATCTTACAGTTGAGCCTTTTCAAGGATAGGCCACAGCAGTGGGAACGTAGGGAAGTAGACAAGATCGACAATGTTACGAAGCATCTCTGCATCCTTTAACTTCTCCCTCTCTCGTTTCTTCACTTCATCGCATAGCATCCTCAATCGATCGAGGTCCTTGTAAAGTCGCTCGCCAAAGTCAATGCGACGTTCCAGACGTTTATGTCCAGGAACACCCATTGCCACGTAGTCTCTTCGTGTCATTTCCATAGATGAGAAGGTCTCTAGCTGCAACTGGAGTCGCTTGAGCAATGCTGCTCCACGTCTCGCCTCTCGTTTCAATGTCCAATACTTGGACGCATCCTCGGCATATTGCTTCCTTTGACGCACCGTAAATCGCCCAAGAGAAGCAATCACCGAGTTTAACACAACCTGAGGGATAACTGGCGCGCCGGAGGGCAGCTTCCAAATCGTTCTAGGAACACGTTTCCGTTTGTTGCCGCCTACTGTTAAGGTAAGACGAGGAGTGAGGGTGCGATCCTCTTCTCCTCCATCATTAGGGTGTGCGGGGCCCATTGAGAGTGCTGCAGCTTGGCTGTCTCCCCAGCGTCTACCTTGCATGGTATTGCGGTAATATTCGATGGCATCAGCAGTTGCAGCATCGGTGCCATGCTCCAATCTCCAGTCAGGAGGAACGTGCTTGTCGCAGAAGGCCTTGAGAAGGTGGGAGTCCATAAGACCGTGGCTAATCTTCATCTTTAGGTATAGTTGAGCTCTGCGTGCACATGAGACATGGAAGGCAACAAAGCAGTTTTTGTTACTGCATTGAATAGATGCACCCATCCGTTGTTTGCAGATGTAGCAATTCAACTTCCAACGGCTGCGTGGAACCTTTTCGACATCGGTCACCGGCTCCATAAGAGATGGATTACCAATAGAAACTTCAGGGATCCAGAAAGAGCAAAGTAAATGAGCCCACTTGGACGAGGTTGTCTGTTTAAATGCACCCTCGGTGTTTGGGCAGAAAATACAATTGGTGGTTCCTCTTCCCAGCAACTGGCACTTGCGGCAAAGCCACTGACCTTCTGGGATGAAAGGAACACCATAACACTCTTGATGCACTGCAAGGTCACAACCATCGCAGAAAACAATTGCATTTGAGTTTTCACAATCGCCATCATCACAAATAGCACACTTGCTGTCTTGTTCTTCGCCCGGTCCAGCAGTCTCGCCATTGACTGCAGCCGCAGAGCTAGAGCGAAGGCGTCCGGTCTGCGGGGGCTTGGGATTCGGCTTGGGGATGCGCTTCTCAAGGGCATGCCACTCCCTCTCGATTTTGGTCATGGTAATCTCAAACACAGCGGGCTTGATGGGTTCGAGCTGATCTTCACGGCGCTTGGCATTGTATTCCTCCAACCATTTTTCATCCTGCTCGTCCATGTCATATTCGACACGCCCAATGGTGGTGTTAAGGTCTCCATCTGTCATGGCTGGTTGAATGACATCAAGGTCATCTTCTTGAGTGCCTTCAGTCATTCGAATAAATCGCCGATCATGGCGGAGGAAGAGATCGCTCTCCTGGTATCCTACGTTTGCCATAGTCCGGTCGACATAGTTTTGATTCCCGAAACCCTTCTTCTCATAGAATGTGAAGGGGTCACGAAGTCTGAACGATGGCTTGGGTAGTGTTAGTTTCTCGCGGGGGTTGGGGCCTGGGGGTGGTATGATCTTTTGACCTTGCTGGGCGAGAAGGGCATTGAGGATGGCCTCGGGGCGACGAGGTGGACGGCCAGGCCTCCGTTTGATTGGGATTGGAGAGGCCATTTCGCCTGATATAATAACTGGTGATCCTGAAAGGTCTGAGACTGTCGCACCAGCCAGTGCCTCTAGGCTCAAGACAGGAGCAGAGTTATCTGGGGCATCGACCTCTTCAGACGTGAAGACAGCAATTTTGCCATCGATGTCCAAGTCGGGATGGAACTCTTCCCACCCGCGTTCTTCGCGTGGTTTGTACCCATCGCCTTGTTGAAGAGCAAGAGCGGCGGCCGTGGAAGAGGTAAACCGACCGCGGGCTTGGTTCTTGTCGCGCCTTGGACGCGACATGGAGGGTGGTGTTGTTGGTATGATGGGAGGTGGCGGTGGAGGGGCTAAGAATGGTTGGTCCATCTCAAGGGGTGGATGGCTTCGAGCACTTGCGGAGTGGCGACGGGGTGTAGTTTTTTTCGGAGTTTCTTGGGCGGCGGCGGCAGCTGCTGCAGCTGCAGCGTCGAAATCGATGAATCTTCCTCCTCCTCCAGGGCCACCTGGAACGTACTTTCGCTTCTTCCAAGGAGGGCCGTCAGGGGAATCGAAGGAACCGCTGTTGGATGATTTGAGAGAAGACCTAGGTTTACTGCGTGATGAACGACCAGAGATTGAATGTCGGACCGACGGTGCCATAATTTACAAACGAGCTTTCGGGTGCGTGTATGTTGCTCGTTGGGGATGGCGATTGTTAATCGGACGGCGTCAGGTCGCGTTCAGAGCCCAACTCAGGCAGGGCCTTGGGAGGAATCAAAGTCGCAATTATCAGGTCATGCGACAGCAAACTATAACGAATGGACACAATGGACGCAAAGGACGCCAGAGCCCGTGGAAGCTGTAAGGCGCGATGAGGTGTTTGGTTATCTGGCCAAGGCGGAGACACCCGAGCTGTCTGGGCCTGTTGGCCTGAGGCACCCAATCGGGACTTGAAGCACCTCCGCAGCTTGACATAGGGACATGACATCCACAGCTGTCCCTTGCAAGCTATTTACGAATTTATTCCTTCGATCGAGCTTTTGATTTTTCTCTTTTACATAGATTTACAACATGAGCGGCTCTAGCGACAACAGGTACGCGTTATCCACCCCAAAACACCGCGCGCTTCAGCTTCGCTAACTGTTACTGTCTTCTAAGATGGCGGGGTGGGCCCAGTCGCCAGGCGTCGCAGCGCAACTCGAACAACCGTGATAAAACAGGAGGACAGGGAAGCGCACGCGATAATAATGCTGCTTGGGGCGCATCCAAACCTCCGCAGGAACCACATGTCCCTGTCCGAGGCTTCAATGCCGCAGAGGTTAAGAACAGTCTGAAGCGTATGTATATGCACCTAATCTGCAAGTACAAGAACTGACCAGGCTTCTACAATACAGCAGGGCCTCATGGTATGTCTTATCGCTACCTTCATCTCAACTCAAGCCTAATCCATGCGTCATTGATACAGAAGCCAAGTCGTCGACACCCTACAAGTCTCATTCTAAAGACGGCCATACCCAACGATCTACTGCCTGGGGTCCCAAGGGTACAGTCTCCCTTCGATCACATTATACCCTTTGAACAAACAATAACCATATCTACAGCGCAAAATATGGCGAATGGGAGAGACTTCTTCTTGGAGCTTAGAAAACAGATTGCTTCACTGCAGCGAAGCGGTCCCCCGTCGGCGGCTGATCGTCACGATTATGACTTCATTATCTCAAAGTACTTGCATTGCACAGTCGGCCGGTCGCGAGTTTGGTTCGTTTTCATGGGTTGCAACGGCGCATCTTCGATACCCTACTGTGGAGGATGCATGGGTGATGAGTGGACTCGGAGGTTACATGGCATCGGCGTCTCTGATGATTCTGGGTCTTACATGTCCATAATGCACTATGGCTCCTTTTTTCAAAATTTATTCATTACAATTCATGGGCTGCATCAATAAATCTATGGGGATGCGATTGCACTATTTTACACGCGCTATTTTACAGAGAGGGTATGTCACTAATATACAAGCAGGTAGCCATCCAAGTGCAATTATCACTCCTTGATCCAACCTCCTGGGCCAAGGATGCCTCCATCATCAGCCTTCGGGTCGAGGGTCCATTTCCGCAAAGGACGACAGCTAAGGTCGGATCGGAACCCAGCCTCGAACATCTCAATGCCCGCCCATCCAATCATGGCCGCATTGTCGGTACACAAATATGGAGGCGGGGCAACGATCTTCATGTGGCCAAAGCCGCGCACTTCCAAAAATGAAGTAAGCACCTTCATGAGGAACTGGTTGGCGGCAACACCACCACTGACAACGAGGGTGTTGATATCATCCTTGCCAGTATTGTGCGGCCGCAGAGTCTCCAGAGCGATAATGGTGCGCGAAGCAAGGTGTTCAAAACAGACACGCATGGCTTCCCGGCCTAGATCGACACGCTCTGCATCTGATATGTTAATATTCGTACCGTTACTTTGAACGATCTTCCCAACCATGCTCGAAATCGAAGAAAAGCTGAACTGCATGGTTCGCGTATTCGCAAATGGAGTCGTAAGAGACCAGCCCCAATCGCTTATGCGTCTGGCTACTTCTTGACCCCGAGTCTCTGGTGGCGAGTAATCCGCGAAATCGGCTTTGCCATTGGGGAAGACGAATTGCTCCAGACTCTTGCCGTACATGGTGCTTTTAGCTTCCTGAAGCAAAGACTCGGGTAGGATATCTCGTGCGGATTTATCGAGTGCCTCTCCAATAGCTATATCTTCGCTTGTAGCGAGGATTTTATGGTCTGTGAGACCTTTGGATTGAACTAGAGTTGTATGGCCGCCAGAGACGAGAATGGACAGGAAAGGGAATTCTGGCGGCGTTGTGGGTGGGTCGGCTTTGGCTTCGTTTGCCAGGCATGATACGAGCCCTGGTGTCAAAAGATGTGCCTGCATGTGGTGCACTCCGACCATGGGGATCTGCCATGCTACCGACAGCGCTTTTCCAGTGTCTAGGCCAACGGACAGGTTTGACCGCATTCCGGGGCCTCTTGTGGCGGATATGAAATCTGGGAGGCGGCGACGAGTTCCATCTGCGACTTTAAGTCCATCGCCTGTTTTTGACTCCGGTAGGTGATTAAGGGCTTTCTGTACAAGGTTTGCGAGGTTGTCTTGGTGGGATTCGAGGGCGATGATAGGGTGAATTCCCCGATGCGCGCGCGTGTCGGCTGTTACATTTTCAAGGAAATGGATTTTGGCTGCGCTTCCGAAGACTTTCTTTGTTTTCTCGACGACGGCTACTGATGTATCGTCACTGTTGTTTGCAACCAATTAGTTGGATGGTTTTATTTCAGACTGGCGTTTACCTCCGCTTACCATGATGTTTCAATTGCCAACGTGAGCAATCCACGGCGGGAGTTCAAACACCCCCTCGCTTTTATCGCCGATCTGCGAAAAGTCGCAGCAGCTGTCACCTTGAACAACATTGGTAAGATGATTGACATACGAGCGGCGACAGGGGCGAAAAAGATCGGACGCGCACGGGCCGGAGAAGCCCTCAATTAGAGCCCTAAAACGGGTACCAAAACAGTAATCTATGGTGATCTACGGAGAGCTCCATAGCTCCATACTGTCGCGAAGAATATTACCTATGAATCATGAATTTACTTGCTATTGTAATCGAGAATGTCAATATAGGGTCGAGGAGACCGTTGTATTTGCAGTAACGAATGGCTAGGTTAAAACATCTTGTACTCCAAAAATCAAAATCGTCAATCCAGGTCCGATCATAACGTCATAAATATATTGTTCCTCCAAAACACTGAGACATCGTTTTCCTTCAATGAACAGAATGTGCGCTGTATATGAAAAAGCCGACTTAGTCCACATGAATGACATACAAATTGGAGGCTAGCGTCAAGCGCGAGAGGCAACATAGCCATCCAGAGCCCCATCTTGAGACAGGCTGGATGCACACTTTGATGCGTTGTTCTGTCATTCCTAGGAGCTCATCTTGCAATTTGAGGATGTCGGTTGTGGAGCTCGCGAGGTGCTGTGCGTGGATTGAGGTGATCAACATGAGACCCAGGGTGCAAGGCCTGGCATCGTTGCAAAAGCAGGATGTAAACCCCGAGTCATTCAGAAGCATCTGGTCGCTCTCCATTACTCCAGCCGTGGACGGTCATTAGTGATACAAATCTCGAACTTGATCTCACTGTCGGACCGTCCATCGCCGTTCTTCTCGAGACATCTTCATGTGCTTGCCATAATATTCGTCTGGGTTCTCAATTGGCGTTACACAGTGGACAGTTGGTGTCACTTTGAATTGTATACGCTTGTCAACAGTACCAGGGCGCGAGGACGGCTGCTTCTTGAGGATGCTCTTCGATGAGCAAGAGTTTGTGTATGCATAGCTTGGAACTTGCAGTGAGGAGAATCTCTTGCTGGTCGGGCTCGCCGCGGAGACTGGCGAAATAGGCGTGCGAGGAAGAGCACTTGGTGACTTGAGCGACAATGTTGGTCGAGGAGTATTCTGCACAGCAGAGATGCTCAGGGACAGCTTTGGCTTGACGACACGGGCAGTGGATGTGTACATTGTGATTGATGCGGAATCCACAATAGTTGAAGAAGTTTAAAACAACGATGTAGTTGATGTTATTTGAATTTGTTTTTCACAGGGAAACCTTGATCAACAAAGTTATCCGAGTAGGCAAGGAGAGAAACAAATTATTTGACGTAGATGTAGAAAGGAGTTGAAGAACTTGGGCCAGCCAAGACGCAGGACGAAAATAGAAGAGGCAAAAATAGAACAAAAATACGAAAATCTCAAACAGTATGCCAAACGAAGTCTCCTGGGGGACAGATGAGGGCGGTTATATACACCTGAGGGGGACACTTGAGCGGGAGAGGGGAACCAACGGACTGCTCACCACCTTCTTCTGCCTAAGCGCCCACCCCATGCACGTCGGTGCACAAATCACCACCATCACACTTAAGTTTCTAACTTTGGAAAGCTTCCGTCTCATCCACCCAATTAAAATGTCCGACTGGAACCCTAGTCCAGTGTGATGATGTGACGGATGTTAGGGTTTGGCGATAGGGTAGTCAATAAGCCCTGCAGCCAACTGCACTTGGAACCCCACCCTGGTCTTCTTGTCCATTTGATTCGAAACTCTCGACTGACTATCACTTCATAGGTGAGGAATATCGCACTTACATCAAGTGGATTCCTGCATTGCTGGGTGATATCCTCGCGTCATCACAGTGACTAGCAGTCACAAGTGAAAGCTGATTGGTTTAAATATCAGCAGGATTGTTGCGATGTACTATAATTAGATATCACATGGGGTTAATGCAGCCATCAACTATTTTTACTCTTCAGGATTGAGCGATACAAGACATCTATCCTTGGATATACTCCGTACTTACTCCGTAGAGCGAGCTAAGATACATAGTAAATGTAGTTGCAACACTGTTTGACATTTTGTTGTGACTCTTTTGGGAGGCTAAACGACCTCTAGTCCTTACAAGATAATGCTCATCTATGTTACATTTCTTGTGTGATCGTCCTAGTGACTATATTTCTTGGTTTTTGAAACAGAACACCACTGATGTACGATGTAATGCTTGAAGATGTGTTCTATTTATAGAAAGTGCCTCTAAATCGACAACGTACACGGAGTAGTTGGCATACATCCTTACCTACATTTACTTGATTAGGACAACACCGGGGGAGGAAGTAGTTGATTTTTTGAGACGAGCATCTAGCTCTATCTAAACATACAAGAATAGGCGGCCACTATGTGGCCTTGTCGTGTCTTTTTAATATGTCCTTTTTAGATGTCTTTTGAGATACCTGTTTAGGTGTATATGAAGGCGCTAAACAAAGTATACTCTGTGCAAGAGGACTTTCTATGTATAACCTTTGATGGACGTGTGATTCTAGACCTGGGGCTGGATAGTAGAAATTATATTAAAAACAGACATGCAGAACACATAACACTTGGAATGGGCTGAAGGTTGATTAGGTTATTAGGCATTATAAGAAGAATAGGGATAAAGCTTTTGGTTTGTTTGGACTCTTGAGCTAGGGTATTGAGCCGTGATACGTTGCTGTGTGTTCCGATAATGTATATTAGGACGAAGAGAACACTGTAATAAGTATGTACGAAATGGTATATAAAGGATAATCTTATAGAGCCAATCTTTTTATAAGCAGAAGAGTCCATTATTTCGCTTCAGCAGATGTGACCCTTGACCAATTTAAGCATATAAGTTTAGTATGACTAGCTGGGACTTAGAAGAAGTGTGATTGCTCTCAAGTTCTGGATCATAGGGTCCAACGACAAGCAAGATGTGCCTTGGATCTTTGAATAACCATATAATCCAGGGTATCGATGTTGGAATCGCGTAAACTCCATCGCTCAAAGGGGATTGAATTTAAGAATAGTAGATCTACTACCAGTGATATATATATCGGATTTTCTTAAGCTCCTATGATTTTACACTCATCGTTCTACTGTATCAACAGGTATATATCTTCTTAGAACCACTCTTGAATTCTTCTAGAATCTCTCCTTTCACTTTTCCCTGGGTATGTAGCAACTGTTCTATATGAGTATGAGATTGATTTTACCTCTAGGGCCCTCGGGAAGCACTGCTGGGTGTAATGATACTATTTGCTAGGATGGCTTTCTAATTTTGATATTTCATCTTGCATATAGTTTTGGAAGAGATATAATAGTGGAATTGGTATGTTTTATCTCCATATAATGGATTTTCTGGCAACATGACACATCGTATGGAATTACCCCAGGCAATGCCGGCTGGCTTGGCTCCCGGTGAATCATTTCCGGGGCTTCCAAAGTTTAAGGCTTAAGCTCAAGGTAACTTCGGGACTGGGAGTTGCCGTAGGTTCTATAGCTACACCGCTACACACTCTCTTTATGATCCCGATTTATATGTGGAGTAGTAGCTGTTACTACCTACAACATAGGTAGAGTTATAGTGCAATTGAGATTTGTGAAGCCCGTGGAGAACAGTGCACTTTGGAAGAAGAGAAATCACACGAAGTAGGTAGAATGAACATGAAAGCAATCCTAGTCGGTTAAATGCCATATTCTGCATTATCTGATTATAATAGAGTGCGGAGAAAAAGGGGATATAAAGGTACCGAAGTGTTCTGTCCATAAAATCCGGAGTTGAGCCGAGTCTGGAAGACTGAGGAGAGGGGAAAGAGATGAAATGCGACCAATCGAAATGAAATTCTCCAAATTCTTGTTCCACTGAACTCCGCACCGAACTCGGAATCCTTTCTGGTGTTTTCGTGTTTTCGTGTTCTCGTCTTTTCGTTTAAGGCTCACCGGTTCCGAAAGGACCATGTGACGGGTTCAACCTATCCGGTTTCTTCCTCATTCTATTTTCTTTCAAAGTCGCCTGCTGACTTTTTCGCGCCTCTGTCCCCTGGATTATATGGTTGGTTTAGGTTCCTATATACCGTGGCTCGTGGTGGCAAAACATATGCCATTCCAAGGAAGAACCCGGATGAAAAGTTGTTCTCGAACAAATAAAAGTAGATGAGGCTAATTCCGGGAGACTTATATTGTACAATATATACCGGTATCTACTACGGAGGACTCCGTATGCACTCCTTATGTACTCCGTAAGAGTAAATGCGGAGATCGGTGAAAGTGAGACTCTTGATTCGGTCCGATCTGCCCGGGTAAATAACGCCATAATGAGAAAGAAGAAAAAAAAAAAAAAAAAAAAAAAACACAAGGGGGAGTACAATATAAAGAAAAAAAAATTCAACGTGGCCAATGTACACAATTATATTAGAAAAAAAAGAATATCAAATCTATCCAAGACTGCGGAATACATAATTATATTCTAATACTAATCTTTGTGAAGAGAGCCCCCCGAAAACTTTACTAAGTGGGCTTATATTAGCATAACTTTGCTCCAGGGCTATTGACTCAATTCTCCCCTTCTCCACATCCCTCGATCCCTTCCTTTCCCCCAGTTTTTCTCTTTTGTGTGGTGGATTTCTTTTATTTTATTTGTTTAGGACTTGAAAGTCAAATTGGACATACACAATGGCTATCGTAACAGAAGCTGTGAAGGAATCCCTTCTGGGAAGCACAGAGGAGCCTCACCTGTCCCACCAATCGCGCTCGAACTTTGTCCGTCATGCGCAAAAGGACGAGCATGGTGAACTCTTCATGAACGAGGAGAGCTTCATTAATGCCGTGGCACCCAAGCAGGAAGACTATGTAAGTGTTACCAGGGACGGCAAAGGTACCGAAATCCTTGCAATTGCTGACCTGGTTTCCTCCCAACAGCACAAGATTAAACGCGAACAATATGGCATCCTTTTCAACGTCGCAGACCGACGGAGAGCTGGCAAGCTGAACATTACCGACTGGATCTCCTTCGAAAACCTCCTCGCAAAGCCCGATGCCGAGTACGAGATCGCCTTCCGCCTCTTCGACTTCGAAGGCACCGGCAGTGTCAAGTTCGACACCGTGCAGGGACTGTACAACATGAACAAGAGTGCTGACAGCATTCCCTTTGATTGGAACTCAGAATGGGCATCGCTGTATGGAGGCCGCTCTAAGTCTCGCCACGACATGACCTACCCCCAATTCGCCCAGATGCTGCGCGGTTTGCAGGGTGAGCGCATCCGCCAAGCCTTCCACATTTTCGACAAGGATGGTGATGGCTTTATCCAGCCCGAGGATTTCCAACGCATTATCCTCGAGACCTCCAAACACAAGTTGTCCGACCATGTTCTGGATAACCTCCCTACCCTGTGCAATATCTCGACCAGCAACCGCATCTCCTACGCCAATGTCCGTGCTTTCCAGAATGTTATGCGTGAGATGGATATCATTGATTTGGTTGTCCGCGAAGCAACAAAGAAGAGCAAAGATGGCAGGATCACTCGTACCGACTTCCTGAACGAGGCCGCTCGCGTCACCCGTTTCTCCCAATTTACACCCATGGAGGCCGATATTCTGTTCCACTTCGCTGGACTGGATGCGCCTTCAGGCCATCTTTCCCAGAAGGACTTCGCCAAGGTCATCGATGCTTCATGGCGTATCCCCGTGATCGCTGTAGGCCAGGCCTTGGCCACTGGACACGAAGTTGCCGAGAAGACTAAGAGTGTGCTTCACAGCGTTCTCGAGTCTGCACACCACTTTGCTCTGGGTAGTATCGCCGGTGCTTTTGGTGCTTTCATGGTTTACCCTATTGATCTGGTCAAGACCCGCCTGCAGAACCAGCGTTCGTCTCGCCCCGGCGAGAGACTGTACAACAACTCTCTCGACTGCGCTAAGAAGGTTATCCGCAATGAGGGTTTCACTGGCCTGTACTCTGGTGTCATTCCTCAGTTGATTGGTGTCGCTCCCGAAAAGGCTATCAAGCTGACTGTGAACGATCTCGTTCGTGGCTTCTTCACAGATAAGGAAACCCACCGGATTAAATACAGCCAAGAGGTTCTGGCTGGTGCAACTGCCGGTGGTTGTCAAGTCGTCTTCACAAATCCTCTTGAGATTGTGAAGATTCGTCTGCAGGTCCAGGGTGAAATCGCAAAGAACGTCGAGGGTGCCCCTCGCCGCTCAGCCCTCTGGATTGTCAAGAACCTGGGTTTGGTGGGTCTGTACAAGGGAGCCAGCGCCTGTCTCCTTCGTGATGTCCCCTTCTCGGCCATCTACTTCCCCACTTACGCCCACTTGAAGTCCGACTTCTTCGGTGAAACCGCTACAAACAAGCTCGGCGTTGTCCAGCTCCTCACCGCCGGTGCCATCGCCGGTATGCCCGCCGCATACCTAACCACCCCATGCGACGTCATCAAAACCCGTCTGCAGGTTGAAGCCCGGAAGGGTGACACCAAGTACCACGGTCTCCGCCACTGCGCTACCACCGTCTGGAAAGAAGAGGGTCTCGCCGCCTTCTTCAAGGGTGGACCCGCCCGTATCATGCGTTCCTCACCCCAGTTCGGTTTCACTCTGGCCGCCTACGAGGTCCTGCAGAAAACCTTCCCCATGCCCGGTGAGGGTGATGCCATT